GGGACCGACTCGACGGCACTTAACAACAACAACAATAAGGGGGTTGTAAGATAGAATAAGGAGAGGAGGTAAGAAGAAGACAGAGAAGTAATGTAGAGGAGTGGAGTAGAGTAAGGAGTAGTAATGTAGAGAGGGTGGGCAATAGGAAGTAGAATAATAAAGCATGTAAGATCGAAAGTAAGTAGAGGTGGGTAGAGGAGAAGGAGAAGGAATAAGAGGAAGGATAAAGCATGTAGGAAGAAGAATAAAGGAGGAAAAGCAGGAGGAGGATGAAAGAGGAGCGGGAAGAAGAAGGGAAAAGCAGGAGAGGGGGGAGGAGAGAAAAGAATGAGCAGGAGGGTAAAAAATGAGAGAAGAATAAAACATGTAATAAGAAGATTTTGAATTCATCATGACTCATTGACTCCGTGTAATTCTTATCGCCGACGTCTGCACCCCCCTTCGGAAAAAAATCCTTGAAATAAATTTGCCGGGGCTGGCTCCCGGCATATTAACTACTGTTCCCATGAGTTTTGATAGTTGATCCAAGCAAAATGAAGTCTTTAACAACTTCAGCCCTTTTCCATTTGTCATGATGTTATTTATTGGCCTAGTGATGAGGATTTTTGCTTTCTTTACATTGAGGTGCAACCCATACTGAAGGCTGTGCTCTTTGATCTTCATCAGTAAGTATTTTAAGTCCTCTGTGCTTTCAGCAAGCAAGAGTCTATATTTGCATATCGCAGGTTGTTAACGAGTCTTCCTCCAATCCTGATGCCACGCTTTTCTTCATAGAACCCGGCTTCTCGGATTATTTGCTTAGCATACAGGTTGAATAAGTATGGTGAAAGGATACAGCCCTGATGCACACTTTTTCTGATTTTAACCATTCAGAATCCACTAGTTCTGTTACAACGACTGCCTCTTGGTCTATGTACAGGTTCCTCATGAGAGCAATCAGGTGTTCTGGAACACCCACTTTCCACAGTGTTATGCATAGCTTGTCCTGATCCACACAGTTGAAAGCATTTGACTAGTTACTAAAGCACAGGTGTTCTCTGCTTTCAGCCAAGATCCATCTGACATCAGCAGTGATATCCTTAATTCCATATCCTCTTCTAAATGAATTTCTGGCAGTTTCCTGTCAATGTGCTGTTAAATTCATTTTTAAATTACCTTCAGCAAAATTTTACTTGCATGTGATATTAATGATATTGTTCAAGGATTTCCACATTCAGTTGGGTTACCTCTTTGGTATGGGTACAAATACAATGGATCTCTTCCAATCAGTTGGCCAGGTACCTGTCTTCCAAATTTCTTGGCATAGATGAGTGAGCGCCTCCAATGCTGCATCAGTTTGGTGAAAGACCCCGTGTGGCAGAGTAGAACTGTCCCAGAGGGTTTCCTAGGCTGTCATCTTTATGGGAGATTCTGGTGGGTCCAACTACCAACTCTTTGGTGAGCAGCCCAAAGCTCAAGCACGGTGCCACCAGGGCTCCTGAATGGAGAGATTCTAGAACATTTCCAGGGTCCTCAAGCAGCAGTCTCCCCAAATCCAATGCTTTTGGAGTTTTCCCTCAGGATCAAGTTTCTGGGGGAGCAACATAGGCATGAACATTTACGTGGTTATAAAAGGTTGTTGAGAAGAGCATTCTGATGCCTGTGAGGGGCTTTTCCATTCACTGGTGTCACCAGGCACACGGGGGTTGGGAGCAGGTCCAAACAGGTGTGTCCTGTTTCTAAGGCACCTGTTTCATCTGGAGTCAGGTGTCCAGTTTTTTAGTTGAATGTGGATGGCTCCATGTGTCTGGAAGTAGGAGCTTCACAGGGCAGGGACACCTGGTCCAAAGGACACGCTCCACTCTTGGCTCTTCTTTCTTGATGGCAGTAGGGCCCCTCTGAGCCTCGGCTTGCTTGTTTCATCTCTTACATCTCCAAAGAGATTGACTCCAGATACCACCTACGGCTGTAGATTGCATCCCGCCTCCTTAAGGCCACACGAGTAGGGACAACGACATCAGATCCTGGCTGGTCACGTCGTAGGCGAGTGGTTACATCACATTAGATTTCATCATGGTGGTGATAACGGCATCTTAACTGTCAAAGCACTGAGAAGCCTGACCCAGTCAAGTTGACCCAAAACTGGAACCATCACAAAGCGATAGTTTAAGGAATGACTGCAGCCATTTCTTTCTGGACTTGCTCGCCAAGGCATCCAAACACCATGTGATCGACTTGGGACACATGATGGTGGTGGTCACCTGGCTGGCAGAGGTCCAGGTCACTTACAGAAACATCCAGGTCCCTAGCCCTGGGAGCTTGTAAATGTCAGTGGTGTGGCTGTGTGCCTAAACCACCCCCCCCACCATGAACTTGGTTCACACCCAATACTTCTCAGCCTCCACAGCCTTCCCATACTTATTTAATTGGTATGCTGAGCAAATAATCTGACATGCTGGTTTACGTTAAGAAGAACACGGCATCAGGATTGGAAGAAGACTCATTAACAAACTTGCTTCCTGGAAGTGAAGAAGACTTAAAATATTTACTGATGAAGATCAAAGACTATAGAGTATTCAGTATGGATTGCATCTCAAATGTAAAGAAAACTGAAATCCTCACAACTGGACCAATAAGTAACAACATGATTGAAGTTGTCAAGTAACAAAAGATTGAAGTTGTCAAGACTTAATTTTTTTTTTTTTTTT